TCATTGTGGTATGCATGTCAAGTTTCGAAGTCAACTATTGTCCCAGGATTCAGTCTACGCACTACCCTAAACCAACTTAGTAGTTCATTGTAATATTAATCCCACTCACCGTGAAGTTTTTTAATGGCATTCTGCTTTGCCTTCCATGCTTTCATGTAGGAGATGGTGTACCCATATTGAGACTGTATAGCTGAAATCAACACCACTATAGTTATATGGGAGCTTGGTTTGACCATGGGCATGATGGCTTGGCAGATAATGTCGGAGTCCAAGTTGGGATAGTCATGGTTGATCTTTCTAGCACAACATGTATAAAGACCTTTGTATATTGTTAGGTCTCATATGTTGTTTTTCCTCTTCCTCTTCGATACACGAACCATCCAGTTGCATCTGTTATCACGTTGGACACAGTAGCATACATACTTTTCGGTGATGGATCGGTCGACTCTAGAGTGAACAGAATTACAAATGTTGTAATTCTTAATTGCAATCATCATTTTTTATTTGGATGGAAACTCCATTTCGATATATAACTCACCATCATTGACTGATGAGTTAAATATGTAGTCATCAACATTAGGCATATTCATAAATTCTGGCCCGTACATTTCATCATAGTCATCTTCATACATGTGTACTGGAGGTTTCGTGTGTATCGTATTTGTGGGAAATTTATCTAAATCATCATCATCGGAGTTCATGTTAAACTGCGATGATTCTGGCTCAATGAATAGTCCAATCTCAGCACTATCCGTATATGGCTCACGAAGAGGTTCTTTTAGTAAAGATGAGGGTTCCTCTGTGATGCTGATATTTAGGTCGAACAAGCTGATAGTTGAATGCATTCCTCTTGAACTTGAAGACATCATGTCATACAGGTTTTGAACTGAATGTTGTGTCGTAAGCATCTCCATATTGAGGTCGAAGAAGCTCGCAGTTGAATGCCTCCCCCCTAGAACTTGAAGATATCGTGTCAAATGGGTACTGAACAGATTGTTGTGTTGAGGACATCTCCATATTCAGGTCAAAGAAATTGGCAGATGAATGTCTTCCCCTTGAACTGGAAGCGATATTTCCATACGTATTGTTCGTAGAGCCACCTCGGTGGAGATCGTAACAAGTTGATGATGAATGTCTCCCCATTGAACTTGATGGGATGGTACCAAGATGTGTATTTCTCATTAACGAGTTAAAATCATTACACGTTACTTGAATTGGGCTGTCAACTTGATCAGCTTGTTGAGCCAGCCCATAGTGGGAGCATAATGACATACACGAACATCAGACACTTCAACAAATATAGCTTACATTTGTGTCAGCGTCTAAATTTTGATTCTGAGCATCAAACATCATAGGAACATCGTTATGTTCGAGAGTTCGAACGCTGTATAAGTTAACAAAAATAATGCAATTGGAAATTTCTACTGAAAAGTGATGACAGTCTTCTAGTACTTCCAACATGAACATTCCTTGAAATTTTAGTGATCAGCTCCTCAAGAGTGATATTTATCTTGAAGGATATTCTGATAAAATAATTTGATGCGAAAACAATACTGGTTTCGTCTTCCCGAATTTCTCCATCATAGTAAACAATAGTTGAAATACGCCTCATTTTGAGAGTTCGAGAGTTTGAAAGATTGAGTCCTATATATGCAAAAACAATAGTTGAAATACACCTAATTAAATAAATAATATACAAATTAAAATATAAACTAATGTTAAAAATTAAAAAAAAATCACAATAATTTAAATAGCACAATTTAATATTGTATCGTATTGAAAAAATGTCTAGAGATATGATATCGCTTTCTATTTTATAACCGCAAAAAATAATATAAAATAATTAGTACAATAAAATTTGGTCAAATAATTAAATATAAAATAAATATAATATATTTAAAAAATAATTTTTCCTTCTAAAAACTATAACAAAATCTATTAAACTTGATAGAGGAATTTAAGAGGAATGCAATAGTAAATTTGGTGTGATTTGATGTTTGTATTCGAAGATATTTATTGGGAAGAATGATGGAAGAATAATCGAGATTTAAGGCTCGAATAATAATAAAAGATCATAATACGCGCATTCCGATACGTGTCAAATTTATCCTCGACATTAAACTTCAAAGTCTTTGTTTTGAACTTTGAATTTCGGACAAAACATCAATGTGTATTTTTGTAAACTCAAAATAATTTAATAACAAATTATCAATTTATCCATTACTCTTGATCTTCTTCTTTACCAGCAAGTCTATGTTGAAACGCTGAATGTTGCTGGTTTGCTCCATCTGAACTTTGCAACTGTACATGCTTTCCTCCAAGCTGTGTTGTCGGTGTTCAGTGATGTGAATTGTGAAGGCCAAACCGATGTGAAGGCCAAACCGATCTTCATCGTCAATCATTGATGGATTAGTCTTCATGGGCAGCTGAAAAAAATGGAGGTCGAAGAATCCATCTTGACGCCGTGAATCCACAGTTGAATTTGAAACAACTGTTAGATTTCGAAATGAAACAACAATTCAAATTAATCAACTAATGATTGAAGATTATAGAGAGAAAAAAACAAATTTCCAGGAGAAAATAGTAACCTTTAGAGTTTTGCTTCTTACACAGTCCGATGGACTCGCTTCACGGCTCAATGGATCATCCATATCTAGTGACCTGCTTTGAGAGCTGTTGATGCTTTTCAATCTGAAGAAATCACTATGTACTTCACAACTCCACGCCGACATGTTAAATGGTGGAGGCGGCGGTGGCGGAGGGATTGAATTGAACGGCGATTCAAGATGCCAGAGATGGATTCTTCGACCTCCATTTTTCCAGCTGCTCATGAAGACCATCCATCAATGGTTGACGATGAAGACCAGTTTGTCCTTCTCAGCGCTGAACACCAACAACACAGCTTGGAGGAAATCATGAGCGGTTGCAAAGTTGAGATTAAGCAAACCAACATAGACTTGCAGGTGAAGAAGAAGACCAAGAGTAAAAGATAGTTGATAATTGTCCCTAAATTATTTTTAGTTTACGTAAAGGCTAAAATTAATAATTTATCTAAAATTTAAGAATTAAAATAAAAATTAATTTCTTTTATTAGCATATCACGTCATCAGACTAATATCCATTAATGTTCCAATAATTAAAATTTTATACTATAACAACTTAAGCGATTAAAACTCAACTTTTTTTTAGTCCAGTGAATAAAATCTTGCAAATATGAAAGGTAAATGACATGGTTACCCTAAATAAATATTTAAAGTTCTAAGATTGAAATATTAATAAGGTCTTTATTATAAAAAAATAAATAAGTTTTTAACTCATAAAATAGTCTTAACAGTGAAATATTTTTTTTAAAAATATATTTTAAATTCAAATATATCTACAAATATGGGCGTTTTCCCGAAAAATCACCGGTGACCGGTATATTTATTGATCTAACACCGGTCAGACTATATTTCCCGATCTAACACCCTTAGCAGTAAAGCGCGCCCCCTGCACCGTGCTATATGCTGATTTGGCGTCACGTGTGATAAGACGCGTCCCGTGAAACGCGTCTAACGCTGACATGGATACACGTGGATAAAGCGCGGGGTAAGTGTGTAATTACACCTAAGACACGGGGCAGGGGCCGTGCCTTCCATGTGAATCTGACACGCGTCAGGAAGGCGCGCCGCTTAGGTGTAATTACACAACTACCCCGACTTCAATATCCCAAACCCTATCTATAAATACATCCATCCTCAATCACTTTCATCACACCAAATTCTCTCAACTTCTCTCAAATACTCTTATAATCTCTTTTAAGGTATATTTTATTATATTTTTAAAATTTTATATTTAATTTATTTAAGTATTTAATTTATTTAATATTTTACTTATTTAATTTTTTTTGCATATATAAAATGGCAGACGATCTATTTTGCTTGGATGCAAATCATATATCTCGACACTTTACTAATACGGTAATATTTTAACGTTTTAATTTAATTTAAATTATTAGTATTAATTTGTTGATTTATTTAATGCATGATTATTAGATTAAGAATTAATTTTTGTAATTATTTAATTTTAGGAGAAGGACCGTGCATTAGATCAATTTATTAGGAATCTTAAGTTAGTGATATCTAGTCGTGTCTTGCCGTATTTAGTAGAAGCTGGATTCGGTTACATAGGTAGATATCAGGGTCACTGTAAGATAGAACCAGACCTGATTTCTGCCTTAGTAGAGCGGTGGAGGCCGGAGACCCACACATTTCATCTTTCGTACGGAGAGTGCACGATTACACTTAAGGATGTTTTTATGCACCTGAGGCTTTCGGTGGATGGAGATGTGATATCGGGGATCGTGCATGGTTCCTGGACTGCTTTGTGTCGGGATAATCTAGGACGTGTCCCGAAAATTTTAACGGTGTTCGGATACCGTTAAATTGGTTAGATGCCAATTTTCGTGATTTGAGCGAGGACGCGTCTGAGGATGAAGTTAAAATGTATGCACGGGCATGCATACTGCAGCTGATAGGAGGGTTGTTGATGCCGGACAAATCGTACAACCAAGTTCACTACATATGGTTGCGACACCTTGGCGACTTTCATCTGGCCAGATCACTTAGTTGGGGCTCGGCAGTTTTGGCTTTCCTGTACATAGAGATGTGTCGAGCCACTGACTACAGGCGTAATGCTATCGGCGGATGTCTCCTACTGCTTCAGTCTTGGGCATGATATCGATTGTCCTTTTTATGTCCCGTCGTCAATAACACATTCGTATTTCCACTACTATTGAGGTAATTGTAAAACTGATTTCGTATATTAATCATTTTAAACAACGTATAATAATTTTTTTCCTCGAATAGGTGGTCTACTGATAGGAAAAATCATCAGGAGCTACCTGATGATTTAGAAAAGTGTTCATCGATCAGCAGGCTGGCACACAGGTATGAATTTTAATGTTTAAAAATTGATTTTAGATTATAGTTATATAATTAGATTATTATTTTGATAAAAATTATATATATATTTGTTTTAGTTTGAATGGGTGTCATATTCTACTGATGATGTGAGGGCGGTGATCCCACCTGAGTTGAGGGGCTCATCAGATGTTTGGATGGTGATGGTCCCCTTGATCTGTTATGCGACCGTCGAGTGGCACTCCACTGATCGCGTGCTCCGGCAATTTGGTTGTTTTCAACCAATTCCGGAAGCACCTCGCAATATGGACGAGTTGCATAGCACAGATAGACGTGGCAAGACAGATACAGATTGGCTGGTGAGGCATCATGCGTGGGTCGCGTTGTGGGATGATCGACATCGATGCCTTCCCCGTAGAGATCCCATTTTTGATGACCTCTTGATGGTTGCTGAGGGTTATTACGAGTGGTTCAACAGTAACGGGAAACCGTTTCTGTTTCCCGAGCATGCACGAGGGCAGACCTTTCTGCGACGTCGACAGAGACGTTCACCGACACAGTACCATCGTCCCCCCGACTCATGGACGGAGAACAGGTGCTTCCAGTTCATCCTCAGCTGTACTAGCAGGACCTTCACAGTAGCCACCGTAGCCATATATGATGCCGCCACCGCTTTTCCATTACCAGATACCGCCGCCGCCACCATCATTTGGTTTTATGACCTCGCCGTTGCCACCATCACAGATGACCCCTCTTGGAGGATATTATAGGTCTATGTTTGCAGATCCAACTTGGGGTTCATATACTAGATATTTGGCGGGTTCAGCCTCATCACCCATGGCCGCAACACAGACACCTCCTATACAGTTTTCACACTCAGCGATGTCTGGGTTTTATGAGTTTTCCTAGTTTTCGCAGGCCGGTGGGATAGTCAGTCATACACCTCCAGGGTCCTTATTCTATGGAGGTGCCTCATCGTCATCAGCTCCTAATGTACCTACTCAAGACAACGATGACGACGACGACGATGATAGTGATGACAGCGAGGAGTCACAACCAGTGATACGAAGAAATCCTCCTCGAGACCGACAACCACCGCCTTGCAGAACACATTCGCGTCGCATGCATCGATATATTTTGGTTTTTATTATATTTGTATTTAGTTTATTGGATTTTTTAATTGTAATTTTTTATTATTTCTCATTTAATACTTACTTTATTTTGTTAAATTTATTGGACTTTTTTTTAATGTATTTCAGTTACTTTTGTTTATTATCATTTAATATCAGTTATTGTAATTTGGTTATCATTTACCATTTAATATTATTGTAAGTTTGTTGTATTTAAAATTATTTTTAAATACCAAATTGTTATCAGTTGATAAAATTTAATGATTGTGTTCAATAACTTTCTTAAGTTTGCCACTTATTATCTCTTTTATTAGAATCACACATAACGCAAACGTTCAATCTCGTATTATTGTATTTTTAATCTTCATCAGCGATTATCAATGACATTAACTTGAAGTAAATGCAAATTGAAGTACAAGAATTATTATTTGATAAACAAATACATCATTTCCTCATCAATTGTTACTTGATGGCAACAGAAGTGAACATGTTTTTCTAGTGTGTCCTGGGTTTTTACAATGCCCACATCTTCTGTCTTGTCTAGATCTTTCTCGAATATCCATATTGCAATGAATTCGATTGTATTTTGGACGACCACGCTCCCTCAATAAACTCGAATTTGGTACAATCGGAAGCCAATCTTGAACCTCATCAGGGCCTTTGTCATTACCTATGGGAGGGAAACTCAAATTCGTATACCTTAAAAACTTCAGATAGTAGGTATACGTGATCTACAAATAGTTATAGTCTTGACGTGTATGCGAGCAAGCTGCAATCACATGAGAGCATGGATACTTCAAAGCTTGAAAAAACCCGCAGTAGCACGTTCTGTCCCTTAGATTTACTCTTAATGACACAACTTCAATCCCTTGAAGAGGTCGTGGCAACTCTGTGACATGAAACATTTCATGCATTCTAGAGAAGCTTGTTACAGACATTCCATTTGATGCATAAATTTTTTTCTGTAGATCTGAAACTAATCTAGAGTGATAGACATGACCACCTTGCATCCAAGTTTGAACTTGTCCCCCGAGCTTCGTAAAAAGCACCCCTAAACGAAAATATATAGTCTTTACCAAAGCCCGCTATTGGTAAGTGACGTGCACCATTTAAGGTCGAATTGATTGCCTCTGCCAAGTTGGTCGTCATGTGTCCATATCGATATCCACCATCATATGCGTTCGTCCACATTTCTTTATCAATGAGGCTGATGTAATCGTATCCTTCCTCGTTCTTCGCCCGTAAATCTTGAAGCATTGATTCAAACGTTCGAGGGAGTAGTTCATAACCTGATCAAAAAATGTATAACTTACTAACTTGCTTTCTTTGCAAAATTAAAACGATCGAAAAGAAAACACACTACATCAGTTTCACTTACCCATGCACACAATTAATTGACGCTCATCATTCTTCTTATACCTTCCATGGTAGTTCGCAGCAATGTGTCGGAGATAATACCTATGTTGGATAAAGGGTGATTGCCACATTGGACCTAAAGACTCCATTGCTGCTTTGATCCCAGCTCCACGATCTGAAATGATAGATGTTTTCCCTCGTGATAACATGTGCACGTAAATTTCGAAGGAAAAAAGCCCAAGAATCTATATCTTCTCCTTCGACAATAGCAAAACCAACTGGAAGAATGTTGCGATTGCCATCTTGGACAACTACCAATAATAAAACTTGCTTGTATTTTCCATACAAGAAAGCCCCGTCGATCTGGACCACATGCTTGCAGTATTTGACAGCATTAACGCATTGTGGGTAAGTCCAAAAAATCGGGTAAAATTGGCATCGATCGCGGAGAACTCGATCATTATGGTATGCATAGGAGGTTTCGAAGTCCACAATTATCCTAGGATTCAACCTCCGCACCAGCCTAAATCAGCCTGAAAGTTCATTGTAAGATGCATCTCATTCGCTATAAAGTTTGACAATGGCATTTTGTTTTGCCAACCAAGCATTTTTATAGGGGACAGTGTACCCATACTGCGATTGTATAGCTGAAATCAACACAACAACATCTATATGAGAGCTTGCTTTTACCATGGGCATGATGGCTTTGCATATCACTTCAGAGTCTAAGTTGGGATGATCTTGGTTGACCCCTCCAGCAAAACATATGTGAGGACCGTTGTATACTGTTAGTTCCCATATATTGTTTTTCCTCTTCCTTTTCAATATGCGAACCATCTAATTGCATCCATTTTCGTATCGGGCACAATAGCATACATATTTTTCGGTCGTGGATTGGTTGACTCTGGACTGAACATAATTACGGATATTGTAATTTTTTATAGCCATCATCGCTTCTTCTTTGCTTGAAAACTCCATGCCTAAAGATAACTCACCATTATTTATTAATGAGTAATATCCATAGTTACCGAGATGAGGCATATCCGCAAATTCTGGTCCGTACATTACACCATAATCAGCTTCATACATGTGTGCAGGAGGGTCAGTTTGTGCCACATTTCCTGGAACTTCATCATCATCGGAGTTGAATTGCGGTGATTCTGGGTGAATGAATAGTCCAGTCTCAGCACCATCCGCACCAGGCTCACGAAGCGGTTCTTCTGGTAGAGATGATGGTTCCTCCATGCACTCCACATTTAGGTCGAATAACCTACTACTTGCACGCCTTCCCCTTGAACAAGAAGGCATATCGATATTAAGATCGAAAAAGCTCGCAGTCGAATGCCTCCCCCTAGAGCTTGAAGCCATCGTGTCAAATGGAAACTGCACAGATGGTTGCGTCGATGACATCTTCATATTAAGGTCAAACGGATTTGCAGATGAATGCCTTCCCTTTGAACTGGACGCGATGTTGCCATACGGATTGTTCGTCGACCCACCTCGGTACATATCGTAAGGAGCTGCGGATGAATGTCTCCCTATTATGGCATTAAAATCATTACACATTACTGTCGTCGGACTGTCAACTTGTTCAGCTAACCCATAGTGGGAGCTTAATGATTGACCCCGAACGACACGCACTTGAATACAATTTGCATACATCTCAATATCGGTGTCTGAATAATTACTTTGAGCTTCAACCATCATTTCAACATCATCATTGTTCAAAAGTTCGAATGATGTATAAGTTAATGGCAACAATGATGTTGGAAATCTGTACTGCAACGACGACATTCTTCTACTACTTCCAATATGAATCTTCCTCGAAATCTTCATTATCAGCTCCTCAAGAGTTATGTTTATCTTCAATGATATTTTAACACGCTCATTTGATACGAAAACAACGCCGGTTTCATCTTCTCGAATTTCACCATCATAATAAACAATAGCTGAAAGTCGCGTCATTCTTTGAGTTTAAAAGTGCAGCAATATTATATCTGCAAAAAAAAAAAAACAACTGAAACAATGTTGATTAAATAAATAATATATAAATGAAAATATAACAGAATAAAATTTTTACACATAAACGTAAATAATTTAAATAATATAATTTTATATTATTACCTGTACCTCAAAACTATTTCGACGTATATTTCCGCTTTCTAATTTTACAAACACAAAAATTAATTGACAACAATTAGTATAATATTTTTTTTCAAATAATCATAATAAACAATAAATATAATAAAAATCACAAAATTACCTTATAACGAAAAATTGAATGAACTTCTGAATAAAATATGAGAAAATTATCAGAATTATTGACTCGTTGACGAAATTGTTGTATTAATTTATAAGTTGAGATGAGAGATGTGAGGAACTTAATCGGGGAGAAGGGTATTTATAGCAGGGAAAAGTTACAAGGAGCGGTACCTGCACCGCGCCTTATATAATTATATCAGTTAAAGGTATGTCACGACTCCTGCCCCGCACTATATATAAATCAGAATTAAAGGTAAGGCGCGGCCTCTGTCCCGTACTATACCCCTACGTGACGTAAGGCGCCCCAAGGGCCGCGCTTTACACACGTGTATCTATGTCAGCATAAGGGGCGCTTCAAGGGGGC